ACTCACTCTCCCACGTGCGCGCAAACGCACACACACTCTCTCCCACACACACACATACACACACACAGTCTCACTCACAGTCTCTCTCTCTCACACACACACTATCACACACACTACACACTCACACACAGTTTCTCTCTCTTTCACACACACACTCTCACACACACATTCTATCTCTCTCACACACACACATTCTATCTCTCTCTCTCTCACACACTCTCTCTCTCACACACACACAGTCTCTCTCTCTCACACACACACACACTCTCTCTCTCACACACACACTCTCTCTCTCACACACACACACACTCTCTCACACACACTCTCTCTCTCACACACACACACACACACTCTCTCTCTCACACACACACTCTCTCTCTCTCTCTCTCCCACACACACACACAAAATCTCTCTCTCTCTCACACACACACAAAATCTCTCTCTCTCTCACGCACACACACACTCTCTCTCTCTCCCACACACACACACAAAATCTCTCTCTCACGCACACACACACCCTGACAGTGAGAGAGTGAGAGGCGGAAACAGCAAGAAAGCAGTAGATGGTGATGCTGAGTTAAGTCGCTGACAGAAAGGAGAGGACAGTGAGTCAGACAGAGAGTCTGCACCAGGCTGTCTGCTACCACTGCACCCCCACCTGACCTGGTCTCTTCGCCACTGTTAGGACTGCCTAACAGGGTGAAGCAGGTAGGGAGAAGGTGTTCACATCAGTATGGAGAGCACCAGAGAGCAATTAGGACAGGGAAAAGCCAACGTATGCCCTTCACAAGCCCATTCCCGATTCCCTGGTTAATCTCCACCCTGATCCCGCTCTGTTCCATTCCCCATCCAACTCTGTCAAGGCGATAAGCAGGAATGTTCCTCAGTCAGTAGTATCTGAGTGAGAGGTACCGCCTCTCAGTGTCCAACCCCCACTCTCTCTGCCTTTGGACAAGTCCTGACTTGTCTGCACACCCGTTCAAAACAAACCATAGCCTCCATCAAAAATAGCTATGACTGACACAGCCACAGTATGACTCCAATATCAGCAGGGCAGGGGGCCTGAGATCATAGAATCCCCACAGTGTGGAAGCAGACCATTAGGCTCATCGAGTTCATATTGACTCTCTGAAGATCATGCCATCCAGACCAACCCACCCCATCCCTGTAAACCTGCATTTCCCATGGCCAATCCACCTAGCCTGCACATCTTTGGACTGTGGGAGGAAGCCGGAGTACCTGGAGGGAACCCACACAGACATGGGGAGAATGTGCAAACTTCACACAGACAGTCACCCAAGGGTAGAATTGAACCTGGGTCCCTAGTGCTGTGAGGCAGCAGTGCTAACCACTGAGCCACTGTGTAGACTTGGGGTTTTGGAGGGGACAGGGATGGGGGAGTGAGGGGAAGGGGTTATTGCTGTGAGGGAAGGGGGATGGGGTAGTGAGGGGAGCGATATGGTGGAGTGAGGGGAAGGGGATGGGGGAGTGGGGGAAAGGGGGTATTGGAGAAAGGGGAGGGGGATAATGGAGTGAGGGGAGGGAGAGGTGTTGGGGTGAGGGGAGGGGGTACAGTGAGATGTATGGAGATAATGGAGAGGTAGTTAAGCCCATGTCCAGCTGGGGAGTGTGAGTCATCACCAAACTCTAACTCTGCCTCAACATGTTCAGTGACCTCAGGACTAGACTGTTAGACTGGGCATGTTAGCCTGGGTCTGGGCATGTTGAGCTGAGTCTGGGCATGTTAGCCTGGGTCTGGGATTGTTGGACTGGGGATCTGGGCATGTTGGGCTGGGTCTGGGCATGTTGGGCTGGGGTCTGGGCATGTTAGCCTGGGTCTGGGCATGTTGGGCTCGGTCTGGGCATGTTGGGCTGGATCTGGGATTGTTGGGCTGGGGTCTGGGCATGTTAGCCTGGGTCTGGGATTGTTGGTCTGGGGTCTGGACATGTTGGGCTGGGGTCTGGGCATGTTAGCCTGGGTCTGGGCATATTGGGCTGGGTCTGGGCATGTTGGGCTGGGTCTGGGCATTGGGTCTGGGATTGTTGGTCTGGGGTTTGGGCATGTTAGCCTGGGTCTGGGCATGTTGGGCTGGATCTGGGATTGTTGGGCTGGGGTCTGGGCATGTTAGCCTGGGTCTGGG